CAGAAAGAAGCTACAAGCGCTGCACCTCGTCAAGAGGCTTCCGCGGTAATGATTTTTTCTTAATATGTCAAAAATCCCTCTTGATATATTAATTTTTTTCAAATTTTATAAGTTATTGTTATTAATTAGTCTCAGTCTTATTACAAAGAAATATGCAGACGCTGTACTATATTATCAAAAAAAATTATTATCAAGTTTGTTATTAAAAATAAAATTAAATATTAAGAAAATCAGAACTTAATGAAAGGTAATAAATAAAAAATTATATCAAAATTCCCAGTGTTTGCTCTTTTTAAGAAGCTAAGACACTCGGAAGTATAATAAGTGAGCAATGCAGCTATATGCTGACAAAGCTGGCAGTAGCTCCCTCTTTCGAGAATTGCTTGAAAATAAGCTGATGGCGGGTTTGATTTCCTGACATTGTAATTTTAATATTAGATGGTATGTGTTTATGTAAGAAGTAAGGGAATAAAAGGGGGATGTGAATAAGTTAGTAGCAGTGTACCATCGAAATGAATGAATGAATCTTATAGAGATTAGTTACCCTACTGACGAAGTCGAATCCCTCGACTTACTGCACGATAACATTGTTACTTTGCGCTGCGCTATACCTGTTAATTTTTTATATATGTTTGAAAACAAGCACCATGTTCTTCCAGTTGTTTGAGAGTATATTGTTGGAGTAAAATCTCAGAAGAATTCTTTCTTTTCCTTCCTTTCCTTTTTAAATGGTAGCATTGCCAAACGGTTATTGCAGGGAGCGGCCAGTAGCTCGTCACGGTTCGACACAAAAAGATCTGTTCGTGTAGCAAGCGATAACATGTTCGGGAATAGGCGAGAGAGTTATGAAAACAAAAATGATGGTGGTCTTTCAACAAGCAGTAGTTGCAGTGATGGGTATGGAGCGGAAGATAGCGATGAACGAGACTACCCAGAAACAGTAACACTTTAACGTTCTTAAAACATCGTATTTGTGCGTAAATGAATAAGTTGTAAAGATTCGATGTTGGTACTGCCTCCTCCCCCTTCCCCCTTCAAGCCCTTCGCATAACTTCAGTGCTTCATCTCTTCTGAAACAGCTCGTGCGATCGCCTTCTTTCATGTTGGTGCCGTTTACTAGTGCCTAACATTCATCGGATGCCTTCAACAAAAGCAACGCGCCTTGCCCATCGGATTAACTGTCGACATGGCTGCAGTCTGATGGGGATTCTGATTGTTAAAATAATCACAGAAGGACACACCAAACAGCTTTTGTTCCATCGCTCTATCTGTCACGTATTGGCTGGCTCTTTCCGTTCCTCACTGAACACGCTTTAACTCTTTTACATCGCTAAATTCAGCACTGTGCTTCTGGAGAGGTGAGCACGGTCTTCCAGGTCAATATTTTGATCAGACATCGACGATACTGTGAAATGCGCGTTGCCCATAGTCCTCTTTCGCGCAATCGGGCTGGAGATTCTGACGCATATTTCCTTATTGGCCAAGAAAAGTCTGCACCGTCTATCTGGAAAAAAGTCAGCACCGGCTATCTTGAATTCGAAGTCAGCACCGTCTATCTGGAATTTGCCCGCGAGCATATTGACACTTTGCGTCATTTTCATTTTCGATACGTTAATTTTTAAGCCCATTCTCTTCGTGAGTTCAGCTCCTGCAGCATTTCATTTATCCTGCTAAAACTACTTGCAGTAAGAATTGTCATCCACAAAACATATGTGATTTGGCTGCTTGTCATTGATTTCTAGACCATCTTTCCAATTCAGGTCGCAAATACCATCTCGAGGTTGGCTTTGCAAAGCGTATTTAATGTTAAGATGGTCTTGTTTTACGATCACTTTACGGATTGGAGCAGAAAAAATTGTCGAACAGCCTATCTTCATTTCTTTAATATTTGCCAAATAATTACCATCGATCCGTTCAACTACGAACCCTCACTACACAGCATTCACCTTTTATGCTATCGAATGCTTTTTCGTGATCGACAAGTGGAACTCAAAGAGAATGTCGATATTTTGTGCGTTTCAGCAACTGCTTTAGCGAAAATATGGTTCACTGTTTTATAATTCTAGCTTGATTTCTCGGCGATGGTTCACTGAACTGTCTAGTTAGTCGGTTAGTGATAATTTTTGCGAATAGCTTGAAAATGTAGGAGCATTCAGGTCGGGCGTTATTCCTTCAGATCTTCCTTGTCGCTCTTCTTCTGCAGCAAAACCGTTTTCGAATCTTTCCCACTGCTGGATACCATTGTCTCGGCAATTTGCGACTGAAGCTAATGGCGGGAGCTTACAAAATTTCATGCATTTTGCATATGATGAGTTTATTGTTAATGCCATCATTGCTTGGATCCTTTTCGTTTTTGTTTGAAACGCTTTGTGTCTAACAAAGAAAGAAGATTGGCATGCATTTGATGCATTCTGAAATGTCGGCACGGCACGTGAACATATTTTTTCTTTGGGCATTAATTACTTCACACTCATTGTTTGGAGCGTTCTATTGTTTAAGAGAACTTTCTTATAATTGCACCTTATTTTCCAGGATGAGACGTGCCTTGATCCTCTTATTGGTTACGTACGCTTAATGCTTACATCGCAAGAAGTACGAGAAGCGATGAAGCAGAATTTACCAGAGGATTACAAAACGATCTGTAACTTTTACAAGATTGTACCTTAATTTGTTAGCTTGTTTTTTGACGCATTTGTGAATGATTCTTTTGAAGCTATTTTTTCATTTATTGCTTTTCATTTTCGAAGAACGTGAAATATCAGCTGGTGTTGTCCCAGAAATTCACTATTTTACTTTCTTTTATCTATCTACCGAGTGTAGCCTAATTGCAACTAGCTAAAACTCAAGTCTTCGATTCTGACAATGGAAAATCCTATCACTGTTCGATTGGTTCCATTCGTTTCGATGATAAATTGGTACTGGCATATGCCAAAGACTAAGACTGATGCCCAACTTTTTCAGAAGCATTTCTCAAAAAAGGCTGCTGTCAACAGCTTTGCCAGCAGGAGGTTTTTTATAAACATTTACTATCTCGGACTACTTCCGAGTACTTCCACCTTTCATAGAGAATGAATGGGGGGGGGGGGTTTGAGTTTTGACTCTGCCTTGATTTTATGCTTTGATCAGCTGTATCTTATCGTTGCTACGGATGTTTTCGATACGGTTGTAATTGATAATGTTTCCAGCTTCTGCCTCTGGATCTGGTGGATCCTTTTAACTGCATATAAGCATATGAGTGGAATTTTATAGATGGTTTTTTGTCTTTCCCTGATTTATCTAGCATTATTCTGGCGCTGATAAACATTCCCTTTGATTTACCTGTATATTCCTTAATTTTCGTCATTGTATAATCACCGCTGGTCTTTTGAATGTGTATTTCATCTATAACATTTTTATGTCAGGCAATACCCAGGGTACCTCAGTGGAAACATGTTGCAGTCTACCGATATCTGTCATGCGTCGTTCCATGGCTTGTTGGTTTAACAGTAATTTTTTCTGCTTATCAACTATGGCAAACTATTTTCTGCATTTGTCGTACATATGCGGGTGTCAGAATACTTATAAGCGGTTTTTGAGAAAGCTGTTCATCGGCAGCCTTGCCAGCGAGTGGTTGTTGTTGATGAGTAATGCCAGTGGGGCTATTTCAGTTTGCCTTCATTCCTGTTAAAGGATTAATATTGGAGAGAATTTCGTAACTTAAGACGAAATTTCGTAAATTAACACGTTTTATTATTTCTTTTTCGTTACTTTGATGTACCTTCATATTTGGTCCCTCTTTTTCAGGCATTTTTTGACTGATTTTGTACATCCAGATTTGATTTCTCCTTTTAACTAAGATAGATTTGGCGCTTTTTTAGAGCTCTTTTGAAGAACTGAGTCAAAATTTTGCACTAAACTTATGCATCTCCCAATAAAAAGGCCAAAACCGTGCCCATATTTAACAGTCATCGGATAGGTACTCACTTTTGTTGTGTGGTGAAATTTTAAATGTATTTCAAAAAAATATGCTCGAAATTTTACACAGGTAATGATTATTTGAAAAATCCTTTTAAATGCTTGAATTTGAACATGTTTCCTCAAATATTTACTTGAATTCTAGGAATTAAAACGTGTTTCCTCAGGAGATTGATGTACTTCAAAAAATTATTTGAATTGTTTGAATTTGAACGTATTTCCCCAAAAAGTCATGTAAACTCCTGGAATTTAAATTTATTTCCTTAAAAAGTTGTGAAAATTCATCAAATTTAAATGTATTTCCTTAAAAAATCATGCGTTTGGCATTTTCCATGCAAAAATTGTGTGAGCTTATAGCTGAAAGTGCTCACTTGAAAAGTACGAACTTGTCGAATTTGAGGATTTTTCCCTTAAAAAAAACTGTATTAATATAAATTTAAACCTATTTGAAAAATCCCACTGAACTGCTTGAGTCCAAACGTAATTCTTAAAAAAAAGTATTGGGAACATTTGAATTTAAATGTTTTTCCTCAGTAGTTCGTTTTCATAATAAACTGTATAAATCTGTTAAAATATTCAAAAGATCTGCTACGTCCCTCAATAATAAGTGAGGGACAACTGCGTGACCTTACTGTGTAAGGGATTATCCCTGCAAGTGTTATTTATTTGGATTTTTATGCGTTTTGTGCTGTGTAACAGCAGTACAAAACGCATATTGTCACGGAGTTGTCTGTGTGTGTGTGTGCGCCTGTGTGTGTGCCCGCAGCAACTTGTCCACAACTTTCAACTCGGGAACCACAAAAGCTAGGAAGCTGGAAATTTAGGGGA